GTTGACCAGGATGGTCTCGATCTCTGGACCTCGTGATCCACCCGCCTCGGCCTCCCAAAGTGCTGGGATTACAGGCTTGAGCCACCGCGCCCGGCACTATCTAGTTCTTAGTTGTCATTCAGCAGTGTTTGGTAGTTTTTCTTATATAGATTTTATTTAGTATCATCAGATATTTTATTAGACTTATACCTAAGTATTTCATTTTTGTGGGTGCTACTGTAAAGGGTATTGTGTTTTTTATTTCAAATTCGGCTTACATCTGTGTACAGGAAAGGGATTGACTTTTGTATATTAACTTTGTATCCTGCAACCCTGGTATAATCACTTAGTTTCAGGAGATTACAGGTGTGAGCCAAGTGTTGAGGAAGATCTTTATGCCTAATTTATATGGTATATCTTTCTCCATTTATTTCCTTTTTTTGTGTGAAGATAGAGTCTTGCTTTGTTGCCCAGGCTGGAGTGCAGTGGTGCAATCATGGCTCACTGCAGCCTTAACCTCCTGGGCTCAAGTGATCCTCCCAAGTAACAGGGACTTACAAGTGCATGCCACCACACTAAGCTAATTTTTAAATTTTTTGTTGAGACAGTGACTTACCATGTTGCCCAGGCTGCTCTTGAACTTCTGGGCTGAAGTAACCCTCCCACTTTGGCCTTCCAAAGTGCTGGGATTGCAGACATGGGCCACTGTGCCCAGCCCTTCTGTGGTTTTAATTGAGCATTTCGTATTATTCCATTTTTCTCTCCTTTGTTAGCATATTAGTTATTTTTGTTGTTGGTGTTGTTTTTTTGTGGTTGACCTAGAGGTTGCATTATACATTTACAGTTAATCCAAGCCCAGTTTCAAATAACACTTCTGCTTCACAGGTAGTAATTTTTAATAATTAAATAATATTTCTTCCTCCCTTCAGGAGGAGTATATTCCTAATAACATTGCTGATATTCATTTCACTTATATGTAAGAATACATACCATACATAATTGAATACATTGTTACTATTCCTTTTTTTTTTTTTTTTTAGATGGAGTCTTGGTCTGTTGCCCAGGCTGGAATGCNAGATGGAGTCTTGGTCTGTTGCCCAGGCTGGAATGCAGTGGTGTGATCTCAGCTAACTGCAACCTCCACCTCTTGGGTTCAAGCGATTCTCCTGCCTCAGCCTCCTGAGTAGCTGGGACTATAGGTGTGTGCCACCATGCCTGGCTAATTTTTGTATTTTTAGTAGAGACAGGGTTTCACTATGTTGGCCAGCTGGTCTCAAACTCCTGACCTCAGGTAATCTGCCTGCCTTGGCCTCCCAAAGTGCTGAGATTACAGGGGTGAGCCACCATGCCCAGCCACTATTATTATTTTGAACAGACTAGGTCAACTAGGAATAAGAAAATTATCTGGGCATGGTGGGTGATGCCTTTAATCCCTGCACTTTGGGAGACTGAGGGCAGGAGGCTCACCAGAAGCCAGGAGTTTGAGACCAGCCTGGGCAACATAGAGACATTGCCTCTACAAAAAACAAACAAACAAACAAAAAAGCTAGGTATGGTAGTGTGCACCTGTAGCCCCAGCTACTTGGGAGGCTGAGGTGGGAGAATCACTTGAGCCTAAGAGTTTGAGGCTGCTGTACCAGTGTGCTCCAGCTTGGGCAACAGAATGAGACTGTCTCAAGAAAAAAAGATAAGAAAAAAGTTTTGATCTTACTTTCACTTATTCTTTCTTTGATGTTCTCAATTTTGTAAATATACATCTGTGGCCTGACATGGTGGGTCATGCCTGTAATCCCAGGACTTTGGGAGGTTGAGGCGGGTGGATCACTTGATGTCAGGAAAAGACCATCCTGGCTAACATGGCGAAACCCGTCTCTACTACATATACAAAAATTAGCCAGGTGTGGTGGTGCACGCCTGTAGTCCTAACTACTTGGGAGGCTGAGGTATGAGAATTGCTTGAACGTGGGAGGCAGAGGTCTCAGTGAGCCAAGATTGTGCCACTGTACTCCAGCCTGGGCGACAGAGCAAGACCCTGTCTAAAAAAAAAGAAAAAAGTATATCTGTGATTCTGACCTGTATGTTCCTTTTCTGCCTAGCCAAGGCAGGTTTACTTGCAATAGCAATAAATTCTCTTAGTTTTTGTTTGAGAATGTCTTTCTTTACTTTTGAAGGATAAATTTGCAGGGTATAGAATTCTGTTGTGATGGGTTTTTTTTGTGATCTGCCCACCTCAGCCTCCCAAAGTGTTGGGATTACAGGCGTGAGCCACCGCGCCCGGCCTGCCTATCTATTCTTGCATGCTGTCTGCTTGATTCACTAGAGCCCATAGCATATCAATCATGGTGGTTTTAAGTTTTGTCTGACACCCCAACATCCCTGTCATGTCTGGTTCTGATGCTTGCCCTGTCTGTGTTTTTTTGCCTTTTAGTATTTCCTTGTCCCTTTTCGTTGATAGCTGGACGTGATGTACGGCGTAAAAAGAATTACTTTTACTAGTACTTTACTAATGTGGTGGTAAGACGTCAGGAAAGGGTGAGCATTCTGTAGGCCTATGAGTAGGTCTGTCTTTTTGTGAACTTTTCCCCTGGAGCCTGAACCTCACAAGTATTTCCCAGGCCATCCCCACCGCATCCCTTAGATGGCACAGTTTGGATAGGCGAGGGTGGATTT